TCCTTTGGTTAGGAAGTAAATCAGAATTCGATGTCATGAGATGTAGGTCATCTTGAATTGAGTCCATTCCATCCTAACTCCTAAGGGTGTGGGTAGTGCCCACACTGGGTTTTTTCACCATTGGATCACACATTCACATGTGCTCACATTGTGGGTGTGTGTTGATCGGTTGATCCGAAGCTGAAATACACCCTTGAGTCATGGTTTTCCATCTATCTTCCGTACGCCGTAAATATGTTTCTCATTTTGATTTTCTTTGCTTCTATCTGTAGCATTGATTCTGTCAGAAATCTTAGGTTACCATTTCATTACTCAACTTTAAATGTGCAGTTTACTGTTTGCCAATTGATGAAGGACGATATATTGTTTTACATGATAGCTTGGTTGCCTATTGGTGGTGTGAGGTAGATTAAGTTGAGTTTCTCTTTCTCGCTGGCTGGCTACTTTTGATGAATTGTTCTGCTCTAGCTTTGTGCAGATGTTTTTTCCTTTATATTCATGCTCTGTTTCAAAGGTGGATTGCTGTGTTAGCATAGAGATTATACTAAATCTGGAAAAATAGGTGGAAGGACAGGGATACGCATCTCAATCCAGTTGACAGTGGTACTCTTATTGTATATTTGATAGATCATTTTCATGTGAAATGAATACTTATAGTTTCTTGTTCATGGCTAACTTATGAGAAGGGTGACATAGGAAATTGAAACTATTTTATAGTTAGGGGTGGAGTGGAGGAGAGGATAATAAGAAATAAATAAATTGGCAGGTATGGAGTTGAATTTGTCTAGTGTAATATTAACTTGAAAATTTGCTAGGTACTCTTCTCTTGTGGCGGGCTAATCTATATGTTGTGGTTGCGTGCTTCTTTCCATATCATTTTAAGTTATGCAATGAGCTTTATGATAAAATTTCTGACAAATGTGGATGGGTGGAGTTGTATGCTGCCATTAAAAGTAAGAAAGTCAAGGACTTGTGATGTGGTTCATTTCATGCCAGTCATCTTTATAATCTTGGTGGATTAGAACATTCTTTACATTGTTTTTTGTATGCAATATAAGACAAATATTCATTGGTTGTAATGTAGTTTTCTCTTGTTGCTGTGAACTAATATGAGTTCTTATATACGCCACAGAATTCATCAGAAACGGATTTCTTTTCTGAATATGGTGATGCAAGCCGATATAAAATCCTGGAGGTCATAGGTAAAGGTAGCTATGGTGTTGTTTGCTCGGCACTCGATACTCTTACTGGTGAAAAGGTCGCAATAAAGAAAATACACGATATCTTCGAGCACATTTCTGATGCTGCCCGAATTCTGCGTGAGATAAAGCTTCTGAGGCTTTTGAGACACCCAGATATCGTTGAGATTAAGCACATTATGCTTCCGCCTTCAAGAAGAGAATTCAAAGATATCTATGTCGTTTTTGAGCTTATGGAATCAGATCTACATCAAGTCATTAAGGCTAATGATGACTTGACTCGGGAACATTATCAATTTTTCCTTTACCAATTGCTCCGTGCCCTCAAATATATACACACAGGTGCTCTGTTTGTTTCCCTTCATTGGTTTTGGTGTCTAAATTTCTTTTGTTTTTGTCCTATAGCAAAGAAAAAAAAAAATAGTCTGATTGTCATATATGATTGTTCATTGGGTTTTGTGTACCACAATCTTCCTCTTTGATGAGTTCTTTTGTGCAACCTTAAGACGTGGCTTCGAATTTGGTGATTGTTGAGAAAAGGTGGATTGTGTCCGAGTAGCACTTCTGTCTTTGTTTTCTAGTCATTGTTCTCTAATGATCATTTAGATTTTCGTGAAGAGTTTGTGAAATGATCTAAAACTCAAGCGTCTTTACTGCAGCTAATGTATATCATCGAGACCTAAAGCCAAAAAATATTCTGGCGAATGCAAACTGTAAACTCAAGATATGTGATTTTGGATTGGCTAGAGTAGCATTCAGTGATACACCGACAACAATAATGTGGACGGTATGAATTAAGAATTCAAGAAACATAATGGAGCTATGGTGTCACAGTCTAGAAATGTTTCTGAAAATTGTGTTCATTTTTTCTTGTAACAAACAGGACTACGTTGCTACAAGATGGTATAGGGCTCCTGAATTATGTGGCTCCTTCTTCTCAAAGGTGTAGTCCATATTTTCCCTGCAGCCTGTCGATTCATTTTTTATAAATTGCAAATAGCACTACAAGAACATTTTACCCTTCGCGAAATGAGCTATAGGGCTACAAGCATGAATCATGATTAGATTTAGTCATAGCTGATTTTTTTTTTTAATGTGAAATCCGATGATATTATGAATGGATAATTCTTGACCTTGGTGCTATTGCATGAGCTTTTCCTAATTTGTTTACATTCCTTCATTTTTTTTTATCTCATTTGTTGCATTCCTTGTGTGTAAGTTTGCATGATGGTACTGCATAAAAGATGTGGATGGATACATAAAACTAATTTCCGTATATTTCCTCATTTCTGTTCTTGATTGGGTGCATGCATTATGTGTAAGTTTGCATGATTGAAATGCTTAAGTTTATGTCGATACGTAGCACTATCAATGTTTGCTCTTCATGCTTCGCGCTTTCCTGATTTATTTTTCGATTATACCAAGACTGACATTTCTCCATTTTTTATCTCATGTATTTTCAGTACACTCCAGCAATTGACATGTGGAGTATTGGTTGCATTTTTGCCGAGGTACTGACAGGCAAACCACTTTTCCCGGGAAAAAATGTGGTTCATCAGTTGGATTTGATTACTGATCTTCTTGGTACGCCGTCCATGGATACCATTTCTCGGGTATTATGCATCTCTTTTACTCTTTTAGTATTTTAGTATTCATTGTAGATTAGAGTTTTTTGGATTTTGCAGCATCCACCAACTTGATTTGGTAATTTTTTTTTTTCTTTTTTTTTTGTGTGTATGTTTCTAGGTTCGAAATGAGAAGGCTAGAAGGTATCTTACTAGCATGAGAAAGAAGCAGCCTATCCCGTTTTCTCAGAAATTTACCAATGCTGATCCTTTGGCCCTTCGACTCATGGAGAAGCTGCTTGCTTTTGATCCAAAGGACCGTCCAACTGCTGAGGAGGTTTGTTATGGCCTTGTTTCTTGTATAACTTCTATTGGAAATTTAGGAATTTCATTAGATCACTTTTTATTCTACATCGGCGGGCTCTCTCTTAGAGCTTGTTTGTTTACAAATTTACTAAAACAAATGCAATCTCAACTAAAAATCTAATTCAACTTTAACTCAACCCCACTATCCTCATTATTATCAATATAATTAAATAATATCAATCAATCATTCTTACACATCACATCAACTTTAATTCACTATTGATCCACTCACATAATTTTAACCACATATCACTTCTAATCATTTATCTCGTACTTTTATATCAAATCAACTTTAACTAATTTATTTTTAAATATTATTTCAATATAAACTTAAAATCACACTACATCTAACCATCCCATTTTTTACAAAATTAACCCTCTTTAACCAAAAATAAAATAATCAAATACCAATATATTTGTAAACAAGCAAGCCCTTAGAAATCAAGGATTTTCATGCAAGTGAAACCCTCATATCCCTTCATTTTTTCTATGATAATGTCACTTAGTGAAGGCATTAAGCCTGTCTTTTTAGTTTGTTTTGTTCTGTTTGTTCATAGTATGGAACTGATATGTTCACTGTGGTTTCCATTTCTTTGTTCATTTTCTGCGATTTTAGGCACTCGCTCATCCATACTTTAAGGGACTAGCAAAAGTTGAGAGAGAACCTTCACGCCAGCCAATTTCAAAGTTGGAATTTGAATTTGAAAGGCGAAGAGTGACCAAGGAGGATGTTCGTGAGTTAATATTTCGTGAGATACTAGAGTATCATCCTCAGCTGCTCAAGGATTACATCAATGGAGTTGAGAGAACTAATTTTCTCTATCCCAGGTGATCTGCTTTTTTCCTAATGAGATTACATGTACATACACACACACACACAAACACATTATTTAAATCATGGAATATATCTGTTGTGCAGTGCCGTTGATCAGTTCAAAAATCAGTTTGCTCATTTAGAAGAAAATGGTGGTAAAGGTGGAACTTCGATTCCACTCGAAAGAAAGCATGCCTCCCTTCCTAGGTATATATTTATGTTGATTTTTTAGTATATATATATATGAACGTATGTAGATATGAATTGGTATAAAATACTGATTAGCAATCAAGTTTGATGCCATAACAAGTAAAAACTCAATTTGCAGGTCCACCATTGTACATTCCAATACGGTACCACTAAAAGAGCAAACAACTATTGCAATTGCAAAAGATAAGCAGAATTGTGAGCAACCATTCAGCAGAAACTCGAGAGGTTTTGACGGGCCTCACGATAGTTTATCGAGAAACTTGCAGCCACAACAAAGGATTACACATGGTACTTCACTGATCACTTCTTTCACTAGGAATAGTGAAAAAATAAATAAAAAAAAAAAAGGAGAAATTTGACAACTTTTTTACAGCCATCTTATTTATCTATTAACAAAAAATATCCTGTAAAGTTATTTTCCCATCTTATGCTCTGTCAGCTAAACCGGGCAAAGCTGTCAGGCCCGTCCCTCCTTACGAGAACAACATTGTATCACCCCAAGTTTATAACCCGTTGCCTTACGGCTACCAAAGAAATCAGGGCCCGGTAAAAGCTGCATCGAAGGTAGATAATGAGATAGCCATAAATATAGACAGCACCAATCCATTTTACGAGGCCCAAGCGGGGCCCACTAAGATGGTGGACCGCGCGGATGAAAGAGTGGTAATGATTGACACGAATCTGCTGCAGTCGAGAGCCCAATCCATTGGTGTTGCACACAGGAAAGTGGGTGCTTTGCAATATGGTATGGCAAGAATGTATTAGCCCTTTAGGGTGTATTGATATGATATGTGTGTGTGTGTGTGTGTGTGTGTGAGAGAGAGAGAGAGAGAGAGAGAGAGATGAAGGAAAAATGTTGCTGTGGGAATTTAGGGTATGGGTATATTTTTACTTTTTTTAAGTTTTAACCGAGCCGCTGAGAAAAAAGTTGGGGAACTTTTTCTTGTGTTACTAATAAAAGAATAATGGTGATACTTGATGTTTTACAGTTTTAAGATTACATGATGTTGCAAGCCATCCTTCTCTTCCTCACGATAAATACATTTTTTTATTCTAAGTTTTTGATAAATTAATTTACTAAGATTAGACATGGGCAAAACACGGGATGGGCCAAGCCTGGCGGGTCGCTGGGCTCGAAAATAGGGACCCGGAATCGACCCATACCTAGGCTTGTGATGGGTCAATGGCCCGGTGGGCTGGGCCGAGCCTGACCCAGGTTTAGGTCGTCGAAAATAAATAATATAAAAAAAAAATTGAAACAAAATATGTGGTGATTTCTTAGGTTGGACTGAACCCAATCCAAACTGTCGGGCTAGGGTCGAAAAAACATGGCCATGGACTGGCTCAGTTAAAATTTGAGCCGGGCCAGCCCAGACTCGTGGTCAAAAGGCTTGACTGGGTTGGGTCCGTGCTGGGTTGGTGGCCCGGGCGGCCCGTGGCTACCTCTAACTAAGATTGATGTATACTAATCATGATTCTGAAAATCGAATCGGTCATCGAACTGGTGAAACTACCGGTTTAATGGTTCACTGATCCGATCACTGGTCGAACAGGTTTAATAATATATATAATTTTTTATTTATTTTATATGTATAGTATATAGTTGCATTTATTTTTATCATTAAATTTATAGCGTATAATGACATTTTTCTCTAATTAAGAGTTTATAATAGATATAACCCACATTGTTACATAATGTTCATGATTTTTTTTTATTATTTTTTTTCATATTTTAGTCAATATTTAAATGTTTAAATGAGATCTTATGCTTTTATTTTTTTCAATTTTTCACATTTTCTTTAACGAAAATCTATTTTTAGAATCTATATTGCAATTGGATCCACCAAACATTACACAACAATGTTGACAAGTCATCATGCCTAATAAATCCACAGGTCGGTCACGCATTATTGTCATAATTATAGCTCACTAATACGTAACCCGTGCGATGCACAGACTGGATAGTTTTTCAAGCAATTTGCCGAATCTTTTTTTTTTTTTTAGTTATTTGTGTGAATAAAAAAATACAAAATAAAATAAAAAAAGCAAATATATATTATTAAACACATCTTTGTACACAACATTGTTTGCTTTGTAGGCAAACCATCCTCACCACAAACTAAAATTTTCAACCCTTTCGATTAGTGACACGAGAAACAGTTACGTAAAGTTAGCCGTGACTGAAAACCGGCTTCTTCAAGAATAGGCCTGTTGATATCGAGATTAAATATCTTGAGATAAAGGATAGATTAAAGGTTTCATAAAGTCCAAACCACGAACCGGGTCTTTGACGATACAAAACGAAATAGCTGGGACCTCGGAAATATCACCTCGGTCTTCATACGACGTTCTGAAGAAAAACAGTAGATCCCAAAGGTCGTAATAATAAAATGTTAAAACCTCGAAATGGCCACCTCAGTTAAAGAGCATCTTACCAGGAAGTCGTAGAAGACTGAAATCCTATCGAAATGCCGACGTTACGAAATGATACCGACTTCAACCCGACAGAAGTGACGCTTGTCACACAGATAAGCGCCCATGCTCATCATTACCTAAAAAGCTTGTCTACGTCATTGCCGCCCCTAAACTGTCAAATCTTCATTAAAACGAAGCTGATTTGTCTAGGGATGTGTGCCAAGCATAACTATAAATAGTAACATTGAAGACGATACGGGGATTCGGCAAAAGTAATAAAAACACGCATATTTATCTCGGTTTTCTCTGTTTACCGACTTAGTGAACATTGAAAAACCGACTTCCCAATTCTGTAACCGACTTAAAGATTTTCAATAAAAATCTCATTTTTTGCAATCTTTACCGTGATTTTTACATTAATTACGTTGATTAAATCCGTTTATCAACATTTTGGCGCTAGAAGGAGGGCTCCATAAGATATTTGGAGTTAATTTTCGAGATAAATACACCACATTTAAAAAATCAAGAATGTCGCAATCCGGACAGGATAATCCGACAACCATGGGAAGCGCCGTTCGCGTTGTGGAAGCACCTACCGGTCAACATAATCCGGTGCCTGTGATGCCAGACATCGCCACGCTCATGCAGAACCCAGAATTTGCTCGAGGGCTCACTGCTTTGTTAGCCCAAACTATGCCAGGGCCATCACAAAGGATACCGGGACAACCTCTCGCCCCGATAACTCCGGCAAGACAACAAGTTCCCCCCATACAAAGGGGTAACAAAGATCAATTATTTCATAATATGAAAGGTAATGACATCGATTATTTCATAATATGAAAGGTAATCTCATGTTTTTATTTTTCGGTTGAATTTCATTATTAGTCAAGTAGCAAAATGTGTTTTTAAAATATTTTGATTGTAGATATAATAAAACTGAGTTTGTTTTTTCGGTACAATTGATATATTATTATTTATTTTTTTTTTTTTTGATTTTNAAATTGATATATAATTATTTTTTTTTTTTTTTTAGATTTTCATATATTGTTTCTGAGACGACAACCGCTTACAATAATCGGAGGAGATTCAACGGCTTCTACTGAAGTTTCACCGGTAGATGTCGAATCCAGACCGACGCCGTGGGCTCTAACGCATTTCGGGAAATTGTAACCCGACTCTCTATTACCAGGTCGAGTAAGCAAAAATGATACAATCTGTATCGACAATCATTGTTGATTTTAATTGTTTTTTCGAATATGTACGTGTTCTGCATCTAATATTTAGATTTTAATTTTAATTTTTGTCATTTTTGTTTTGTATATGTTAATGTTTGCATCGTTGGGTATTGCTTGAATATGTTTCGTACTGAGTATGTCTTCTTAGTATTCGTACTAAGTATGTGTCTTATGTTAAATTTGTAAAAATGATCTATAATTGAATATCGAGGATTCGTACTAAGTATATGTCATCTGTGAAAATATACCATTTGGTCACTTTGAAAATTGAAAAACCGAGTATAGACGGCTATCGTTGATTACTTTATTAAAAATTTGATGTGCAAAANAGTGCATAGGACATGCATACATTATTTGTATATTAATTTGTACATTACTTGTATTTCTTTTAATTGGTACAAATAATGATTTGATTAAATGCTATTGTTTTGCATTTCTTATTATGTTACTGAGTCGGCCACCGCTTGAAGGCTGAGGATTCTCCCACGTTGCTCCCTCCTGAATCGCAAATAAGGTATACACTGTCTCGGTTTTCTATTCACAGTCCGTTTATAAGTTTAAGAGTGAATGGTGTAATTATACTATTTAACATTATGATCTCTTTTAATTGGTTATTGCTAAGAGCAATTACTTTTTATTTATAGTTTGGTCTCTTAGTTTAAATGAATGATTCTTTTTTTCTTGCTAATGTATCCTCATGTTTCTTGTAATGAGTTATTAATTTATTCTAATTTATATATGTTCTCCTTTTGTCTTAATCATACATTTTTTTTAATGTGAAAAGTCTATTTTGATTTTTTTAGTTTCATAGATAAAATGTAGTTTGAGGTCTTAAGGTTTCAAAGGTACAATCTTGTTTAATTAATATATCAACATCACATTTGATAACTCAAAACCAGCTACATATTGCCAATGTGTAATCAAATAGGCTTGCATGATTCAAAAGTAATATTTATAGATTGTTGATCGTAGAAATACCTGATGACGTGTTTTCATTATGTGGTCTTTTTCTTTGCACACTGTTTCGATTTGTCGATCGACTGCATTTTGTATTGTTGTCTGACATACAAAAGCACGTAAAGTTAAATATATTTGACTACAATTGTGAGTATTCATGCTAATGATTGAAATATCTATTGGTTATTAATATAAATTTTCAACTTTCATTTTAGAAAAAATTAATTTAAGCAGTTTGTAACTAATTTCATAAATTTTTTTCAAGCAACATGGAGTAGCAAGGTCTGACACTTACAAAATGATTATGGAATGCACAACATATACCAGGCAAGTTGAATCTTTTTTATATTGTGATTTAATTATAATAAAATTTAATAAATATTATTATTAATTGTTTTCTTTTTTTTTTATTGAGGATAAACACGAAACACTATACATAAATGCCAGTCAAAACCAGTCATCTAGCAGATGAAGATAATCCCAAAAATCAAAGGTATGTTCAATAAAATTATTTTTAATAAAGTAGTGCTCAACTATGTATAATAATAAAAGTGAAATTCAATTTGTAGTTGCTGTAGAAATTACCTTGCAATGGATTTTCCTTGCTCGTTGATTTTCTTTTCATGATGTTGTTTTTATTTGATTTATGTGATTTATCATAGTCTCCAGATCGTGATGAGTTTCAATCAATCGGACTACTCTCAACTTCAAAAAAGGTTTGTTGGATCTGTTGACGGACTTCAAGTGTGTCCCAAAACGGTGTCATAATTTTTTCTTTGTATTTTGTATTTTGAGGGTGTGTTAGCACGGTTTGATGAGGTCATGTTTATCTCGACCGAAATTGTGGAATGATTTTGTTAGGATATAACCAAAAAGATATGATTCTGTTTTATTTTTTAAAGGTCGAATTCTAATTAGGCTGCGTGTATTGCGCCCTAACTAATACAGATAAATAAGGAATTTTGATACTAAATAAAGCACGAAATTGTGGAATGATTTTGTTAGAATATAACCAAAAAGATATGATTCTGTTTTATTTTTTAAAGGCCGGATTCTAATTAAGCTGCGTGTATTACGCCCTAACTAATACAGATAAATAAGGAGATTTTGGTACTAAATAAACCACGTGCACCTTCAAATGCATTGATGGTTAATACCTTGACCTATAAACTCGAGAACAAAATGGTTAAAAGATTTTTTAATATT